TCATACAAATATTGTTATTTATGGTGATGATGAGAACGTGAGCTTTGTTTTGTACAAAGGTCTGGGAGTGCCTACTTGACATCAATTGAAAGAGACAGGTATTAACCTGTATGTTTGATATACAGCGTGTTGTTATTGCTTGCAGATAAACAGAATTACCTCCTCTTAAAATCAAAGGTAATCTGTTTTACTTCACTGAGATGTGGTGATGTCCACAGAGAACAAATCATTTTTGGCAAGTGGAGGAGGGATTTTCTTGGCAAGTTGGAAGAAGCATCAAAGGAAGAAAAGAGGGATGGGATGCAACACAACTGGTTTTAATCACACGTAACAGTCAAGTTCCTTTGGACAGGTCTACTGTCTGATATGCCATTGCAAACGCTCTGGGGAGCCTGGATTAAGAGAATGGAAAAAACAAGTGAATGGCACAAAGGTACTCAGGGCACTCAGTGGAATAACTGGCAAAGCTTTTGTCAGTTGGCATTAGGCAGTGATATATTGCTCCCATTAATGTAGTGCCCTGGTACCATGACTTTGATTTTTAATGGGTGTTTGGTTACCCAAGTCCGTGCCTTTTTCTGGTTTTGACAGTCACAGCTCCTCAGATCACACTGCACTTCTGTTTGACATTAACAATGAAGATGCTGAATTGGTTATAACAAGGATGCACTTTCACTCCCACTGTACAACCACGAGGGAGAGGGGAGACTCTCTTCTTTCAAGCCAGTTCAGCTCTGAGGTGGTCTGAATTGCTCTGGGGGTGCCAGTTTCTTCTTCTTGCCTGTGAAAGAGCCCAAGGTGGCTGCTCCTTAGGTCAGGCTCACTGCAGCCTGCCTGAATGGATGGGATAATGTCTGGACAACAAAAGCTTGGGCAAATATTTCTTGACAGGACTGTTCCTCTTGAAATGACTGTTTCCTCTGGAAGTTGCTGACTTGTTTCACTAAATTTGAGGGCAGGGAATGTACTGATTTTATTAGCATATTCTGTAGCAAACTAATGTTTCACTTCAACTATTACAATACTATATAATGTATTATATTATCATCTCACATAACATGTCAGTTTAGACTAGATTATAAAAACATCCAAACAAGAAAGTCAAACTAAAAATATTTGATATGATCATTTCAGTATTTCTGAAACAAAATATTTTACAACATCCATTCAGTGATATGTTTCAAACTGATGGCGCTCTCTTCCAGTTAGGAATGAAAGGACATTTATAATGTCTGAGTTGCCTTCGGAACTTGAACAGCTTGAGCTTTGATGGTTGCTGGAGCTGCACAGTTGGGATCGCTGTTCTGACTGCTGTAATAATTGCTTCCTTACGTTTTGTTTGGGTTGCAGTAGCATTTGGGGGCTACTGTCAGGGCTTGAGGATCTCTTTTGCAAGGAACCTCACATTCATATCATAAAGATAATATTTGGTCTTCAGTCTCACAGAATAGAAGCACTGGACCTGATATGGGGAAACCAGGCATTACCAAGAGCTTTGGTGGTGACATGGCAGAAGTGGGCCTTACTGCGCTTTGGCTAAATGATTGCTTGAGTAGTGGTTGCTGGGAGAAACATCTGATTGAAGGACTAACTGGGTATTTCACTAATTACCTGTTGGTGAATGAGGGCTTGAGTTTGAATGACTCTAAATGTTCTGTGAACCTTGTCTCAGCTAGGGTCTTGATCTTGGTTTTAAATTCCTGGTAGAGAGTGGGAACGAGTCCTAAATGAGCACCAAACAAATGGGATTCAAACTCCCACTGCAATCTGATGAGCTAAAGACTTCTTTAAATGCATGGTTTAAATAACCTGAAAGTTGAGGCAGAGCAACGGAGTTGATTATCCAGTCTTTGAACACCAAAGAGCAACTGATACATAAATGATTTCTTAGCAAGATCTTCTATTTGAAATTCATGGTTCACTATTATTATTATATACTACAGTGAAGTCCAGAGAGCCCTGAAATTTTAAGACAAGAAAGGCCCTTTACCAAATTCATGAAAATTTAGGGTGGCCTACACTGGTTGACTGGGAGTTCTTGAATTAAAATGTACCTTGGAAAAGGAGGAAACCAAAATATTATTCAGTGTGCAGCAATCTCATGCATTTAAGCCCCTGGTGGGCTTGTGTTTCTTTACTCTTGAGGTTCATTATGTCACCAGAAAAGCTTTAATATTTTACTGTGGAAGCAACATAGCCATGAAACATTAATTTCCAGGAATGTGGGAACCATGAAATACGTTTTTTTCTACTAAATTAAGATTTTACTTGTCTCTGTTCTCACATAGTTAAGGGAACCAATGTTCATTATATGTATATGTATTCTGGAAATTCAAATAGGAAAGATGTACAAAATGTGGGAAGAACATTTTTACCTTGAAAAATGTATTTCACTGATAACAATACCAGTAATTTACATTCTACCTTTCACCCTAAACTACATTACATTCTGTATCCATCTCGGAACCACGTCTCTCATTACTGAACTCTAGTGTGTAAGCGAACAGCTGATATATTCTGCCCAGTGAGATGTGGCAGCTGTTTAGATTTGTACCAAATTGTTTACTTTCCTATTCCCACAATGCTGCTCTCTCACCATTGTAGTCACCAACACCAGTCAGAGATGCCTGGCACAGACACAATTGTACTAGGATCTCCAGCAGTTCCCAAGTACTCTGCACCATGGCACATTCTCTGGCTGGAAGAAAAAATGGTGAAGGACAAAATAATTTTTAATCCACAGAAAGGCCTTTTAAATATTTTCCTGTTATTCCTAACCAGCATTACTAACTATAGACTGATGGCTTTTTCCTGTGAAACAAATGACTGGGTTTCCTTCAGATATCTGCACATACTCCTATGCATGCAGAGACCACATCAGCTTTTAGCAGTGTTGGAAGAATGAAAGCATTGTAGAGGCTCAAAAGGCATTTGAAGCACTTAGTTCTGGGGACAATTCCAGAATGTAAGTGTTCACCTAGGGGTTTTAACAATGTTATATACTAAATTTATGTCCATTACCAGTTGATTAGAATGAAAGAATTAGCCAAAACATTCCAGAAGCATCTGTGTCATGGGAACCATAGGTTTCTAGGTTATATGACACGCCAGAATATTCACCAAATCAAGCAGGGTTGTGTTCCTTAATGGTACAATTAGAGATGGCACATTAAAAGAACAATTACTGGATAAGATTTGACGGCACAAAGCCCTCTGCCATAAATTGGAAATTCTCAACATATGCAACCATATTGCTAGAGAAGATGAGTTATGCAATTAAAACCAAAACTGGAGATTTGTTATCAAAGGATGGCAAAGAGTACTAAAATCCAGAGAGGTCCCCTGGTCTCGTTATCTTCAGGCTTCTATGTGAGTTAATCCAACACAGATGACAATATTTGACACAGTTATGCCTACAGTCATGTGGACGATGTTTTATAGAAGCCCCTTCTATCAGAACATGGAGGTTTGTCATAATGCAACTCTTTAAAAAGTCTGAAAAATTTTGCCAGAACTGCATTGCAGGGGAATCAAACATGGTAAAAATTCTGACAGAATCAGACCAGTCCATTCTAATATTATCATTCATCTCTAAAATTTTGAACAAGCCATATTTAATTTGCTTTTTACCTCACTATAGTAATATTTTAAATGCAAATTATTTAAAAGTTGAAGTCAAAAGAAACATTTGATGATTTTGTCTGAATGAAAAAATTTAATCAACTTGGAAAAGTTCAGGGTTGTGTGGTTTTCGTTCATAAATAATTTCAAGACTCTTTTCTTGTCCTCATTCAGAATGCAGCAGAATTTCAAATCCCGAATTTTTTTGCAAAATGAACTTCTGTCCTCCCACAGCACTTTCTGTGCCTATATGAAGGGGACAAGAAGCTGAATGTGCAATTTCTGTGAGCCTTAAAGAGACGGTATGTGCATTAGTATTTTCAAATCCAGGCTTAAACAGCTGCTGTTTGAATATAAATCATAGATGCTTTTGGGTTACACTAACACCCTCTGCAGTTTAGTACAGTTGTTAATTAATACAATACTGTATTAGTTCTTCTTACAGTCTTACTATTAACACCCCATGAAATCCCATTAGCTCTGCATATGGTGCCAGACTTGTTCTGAATGTGGGAAAGAAAGAAATTTACAGTGGTATGAATAATAAAGAGATGCTTTCAAGTGGTTTCCACTGTGAACATTTTGAAAAAATATTTTCCAGAATGTAATTTGTGGGGCAATCTTTTCACAAAATTTCAATGCAAACATGGATATATGTCATCTAATTTTTCCCCTGGAGTGTGAAAACCCTTACGAAGCACTATTGTTCTATGGCAGAAACGTCAGGAAGATAAAGTAATTCCTAAAAATAGAAAATTAACCAAGTTGTCTTATTGTCCAAACTGACAGAAATGAAAAAAAAACCCAAAAAAAGAGAAATAAACTGCATAGCTGATGCCAAGAAATGGATAAAACTTTCCTTACATTTTTGGTTTAAATATTTTTAAGTACCAACAGTGACGACAGTCAAAATTCAAGTTAGGTTTTCCAGAAGTTATTTGAATTTCCTGCTTCAGTGATCTGACAGTTCCTTCTTAAATTCTGATTTAAGTGCCATAGTAAAAACCAGGCTTATTTGTTAACACCTCATACAGAACACACCGAAATGTATTAGCCACTACAGACACTTCAGATCTAATTATTTTCTGTTAGTTGAGTTTTGTCCAGTATTGACTCTTTAAAAATGAAAGACAGATCTGACAAGGAGCTGTTAGAAAGGCTTTTAAAAATTGAGAGAATGATGAAACAGGCAGGATTTAGAAGCAGACTATTCCCCAGAGAAGCTGGCTCAATTGTAATTCTCTCCTGATCCTTTCAGAGTTGCTGGCCTAGAGTTGTAGTAGTAGTAGTTCATCGTTAGTAGGATTCTAGCAGATGCTTTTCTCCTTCCCAGTCCTGCGGTTCATCAATAGTCCAGTCTCTGCAGTTTCACTATGCAATCAGGAATGGCCAGGACCTTTCTGCATGGCCAACATCCAGACAGGGACACACTGCTCAGGGAATCCCTCCTGCCTCTCCTCTCGTAGGATGGTGAGTCCACTCATTTCAATGAGGCTGTGGAGGATGTTCAGGTCTCGGATCACACTACTATCCAGACAGTCCAGGATACAGCCCTCCCTGGCTACATTGTCCTTGAGAATGATAACACCATTATCCTTCAAGCCATTCTGGCACCGGATGAGAAACTCCAGGAGATCTTTATCTGTCAGATATCCTACAGATGAAAAGATGGACAATAGATCACTATTAACCATTCAAACAGACTCCCCCTGTACACATCAGAACGGTGCCTTGATCTGAGTCTCCATACCCTGTTTATTGCAGGAGAAGTTCTAGTCCTGCCAGATTTCATTATGAAATCTTGGGCAAATCAATGAGATCAACAGTTACAAACTCAAATCAATATTTAGGATCCATATTAGTAGTAGCAACAGATGTGGACAGAAGTCAATGGGAATAGTGGAGAAAATACTGGGTGCTGAAGGATTCTTTAATCTGGTGGTTAAAGTCATAATAAGAATCAGTGGCAGGAAGCTGGAGCCAAGCAAATTCATATTGGAAATACGTGACAACTGTTTAACAGTGTAAGTAATTACTCATTGGAAACTACCAACAGAAGTGGTGTTTACCACCTCTTGAAGTCCTCAAATCAAGCGTGGTTGACTTTCTCAAGATATGTTTTAATTGAACACAAACTACTGGCTCAGTACAAGGGTAAAGGAATGAATACAACAGCTTGCGATATAGACTAGGTCAAACTAAATAATCTAACAGTCCCTTCCATCTTTTAATGCTATAAATCTCTATAACTTTGTGTAACATTATGTACCCATCAAAGGAGTTCTGGATCAAAGATCCAGTGAGGAATGCAAGACCTTCCAAACTGCCAAATAAATTCTTTATATTACCCCATACTGTTGTGATTTCTGTATATGCCATATATATTTAAAAATAGTACTTTTTCAATATGCTAAGATTGTGGTTTTTATCCTTCCTTCTCAAAGATCAATACTTCTGTTGAGATCAGCTGGGCTCAGAGAAGAGCAAAATGAGAACTCTCACATGTGAAACATCTAAAATGAATTAATAAGGACAGATGGTCAGAAACTGAATGAAAAACTTGAAAAAAATCATTGTTTATATTTTCCAGTCAAAATATTTAGTTTTCTTGATGGAAGATTTAAACTATTATGAATGGAAGTTGTCATTTCAAAACCATGTTTTGACATAGCATGTCAGGTTTTTTAACCATGCCCCCCCTGCAAAAAAGAAAAAAGCTCCAAAGCCAAAAGCTGAATTTTTTGAAGTTGAAGGAAAATGGTAATTTCTATATGAAATGTAAACTTGCATTATTCTTTTTCATAAAATAACAGTCTGGGCTCATATACTTATGCATACATAAGACAAATCAAGATCGCATTGGCAAGATTCATTGAAGCTTCTGAACACCTAATTTGGAACTTAATGTTCTCTTAGCTTTTAGCCTAGTTTCCCAAGAAAACGAGGTCTTCACGGTGCTGCTCTCTACCAGACAGTCCCGCCCTCACTCCACCAAAAAGCATTGAACTTGTTGGTATATTTCAGTCAAATTCAAGACAGGGGTAGAAGTTTGATTAATCCTTAAGATCACTACGTATTTCATTGAAATTGATGGAGGAAGGAGATTCAGATCTGTGTCTATGCTAAAGAAAAGGCATGTGCTCCCTTCATTAGCAGCCCCACGGCTGATCACCACAGCTTCAGACAAATCTTAGCTCATTCAGTCTCATGTTGACTCAGATTTGTGCAAAAGATGAGGCAAGAGCCACATTTACTGCAGTGACTGGTTATTCAAGAAGAGCAAAAATGCAAAGGAAAATGATACTGTTCTGAAGCAACTTCCTTTATAGCTATAAAGACCTGTTCTAAGCAGCCCAGTTTCACTACTTTTTAAGACTATGTGTAGAGGACAAATAAATGTTCCTGAATAAAATCATCTCCTGTGCTAATCTCTCTACCTTTATCTTTCTTTTTGCCTAGCAAGAAACTATCTCCAGGGTTTTGGAGAGGAGTTGTTCAGGCACCCTCTTGTGCTTTAGAATAATAACTTCTGCCAGCTGAAACTGCACCATGGAGACTTAGGTTCACAGATTAGGAGAAAACCTTCTTTCTGGAAGGACAGTTAGGCACTGCAGCAGGTTTTCTAGAAAAAATTAAGAACTTCTTTTTGGTGAGGAACATATTATTATGATTATTATATTATTACATATTATCTGATCACCAGTTTCCTGCACTTAATGCCGCAGGGCATTCACTGGGATGGCTGTAGGAGAAGAAGCAGGTATTGCTTATATGAGGGGGTACTGTGGGACATAGCTAAGTGAACCTGTTTGATAAGCATCAGTGCATGTGTAAGACATGATCTGGTTTATAGGTATTGGTGATTTCACTATGCCTTTTTCAGATTGTTTCCTGAAATATCCCCAAGTCTGGATAATCATCAGATTCAGAAATCCCTGCTTCACAGATTAAGCCAACCCCATGTATCTGTCTGTAGCATTGGCAGCTAAGAAGGAGGATTCCTGCACAAGAAAATGCATGTATAAGGCTTACTCCTCAGCTGCACCTTAGCATGCAGGCTAGTCTCCAAGAACATGCACCTTCCTCCAGTACCTCACCTGAAAAATACCAACTTGATTTGTACCCACTGTACATGTGGCTGGGGGAGAACTCTCAGAAGTCTCTCGTGAGATTTTAGGAAGCAGTCCCAAAGATTTGAGAACCTCCTTTTACAGCCGCACCACTCTTTTAACATAAACTTTAGCACAGGCTGTATAGTTCTCTGACATGCTGGGCTGGATGAGTCATGCTGAACTAACCTGAAACCCACTGAATCCAGATGACATCATATCTTTGTGGGGCTGGAGTGAATTCCTGGAGGCTTTTGCAATAATACGTCTCTACTCTGTCCTCCTTGCCCTGCAGGTAGTTCGGGACCTCAGCCAGGAAATTCTCCATCATATCCACCAGTTCCACGCTCTTGAAAACTGGTAACAGGACATGCTTGCTGATACGACCTATCCCAGAGCCGCAGTCCAGGGCGCGGTTGGTGCCAGCTTTCCCCACCCCCTGTGGGATACAAGAAAATATTTTTGAAATCTGAAAAATACCACCTGAAAGATCACAGCAACTGTGTTACCAGCTACGGCCTTTAGTCCACAAAGCCTCATGTCTTGTCTCCTTATTTGTGCAGGGCTGTTTTAAGATTGATAAGAACCTGGGACGGTATCAATAGAGCTTTGGGTACCTAAGTGTGAGCCAAACTGGGCTGCTGTGTTCCCAGGCTGCTGTTGATGGGACTTCCTCATTACAGCCCTGCATTTATTGCTGTACAGTAAGTTTTTGCTTGGTGTAAGAAGAGACATAATCTTTCACATGCTCCTAGCTTTCTCAGAAGTTCCACTGGTCTTTGTAAAGTCCTTGCAACTTCACCTGACAAATATTCATACCTCATAGCCAACTACATGGCTAGATAAGCCTCATTCTGAGTCCTGCAGAGGCCTAACAAAAAAGTAAGCATATACCAAATACTGCATGCAAGAAGTAACTTCTGCAGCATAGAACTCCCAAGGTGGCCATGGACATCTCTGCAGATACACAGCATCCTTGGAATCAGAGAGCAGTTTTCAAAACAAGCTGTGTTTGAACAAAGATCTTGGAGTTATAGGTAACTTATGACAACTCAAACAGTTTGGACTGGAGCACAGAGACAAGAAAGATGATTGAGTAGATTTTGCTTAACTGTTCTTTTTTTCTTCATAAATATCATCTCTGGACAGAGATCAGACATGAAAAAATGTGGCATGAAGGCTAGGTCTATGAGAAAATAATGAGTCACTGTAAAATAAGCTTTACAATGAAATCTGTATTTCACCCCTAAAGCTTCCATTCTAGCTATAAAAAGGCTCTTAAGAGCCTGCTCCTGTTCTGTAAAACAGAAATTTTAAGTCTGTACATGCACTGACTGTGGGATTGGAGCTCCCCTGGCCAAAGTTATCTGTTAAACAAATACATTAAAAGCAAATGTAAACACCTTTTCCGTGTCCTCTAGAACTGAGTGTTGAAGTGAAAGCTATGGGCCAATGTTCTGGCTGCAACTTCACTGCTCTTAAAGGAAATAAACCCCGGAAGAGTCTTGCTCTTCCTGCTTATTGGGAGACCCACTCTGTAATGACCAAGCATAAATCACGTAACTCACCACTTTTTTGGCCTTGCTTCAGTGGGTAATTCAGTAGATTATTAAGGTCAAAGGACAGTACCGTCAATGACATGACTATGAATAGCCCGGCTGAGCATCTGGTTACATAGAGTAACTGTAGAAAGAGCACAAGGACCTCAAAGCCTCTCACCAGTCTCTAGGGCTCCTGGTCCCAATTTGTATACCTAGGAAGATTAATCTCCCAATGTGTGCAAGAGTCCACAAGCCTTCAACCCTATTGGACTCTGGAGACTACCTGTTTGTAGTTAGCCAGAAAATGTGAGCCATTCTTCATTCACAGGCTGCGTGCAGGAGCATGTGGCTTTTACTGAAGACTGGACTAAGCTGTAACAGGGAGTTCATGAAAGGAGAAGGAATGGTGTTTTGGATCTTTACAAGGTGGATTTCCATATTGCTTGCTGGCAGAAACATACAGGCCTACAATGATGTGATTAGGTAAAAAACCTTTGAGAAAGGTGGTGAGAACACTGGGATGATTTACCAAAACAACTAACAGAATTTGACAAAAAGCCATATAACTTGTTTGATACTTGTGTTTCAGAGAACCTATAGTCACAGTACCTCACTCAAAACAGGGAATTCATCTCCCATGATGTGTCACGGCAAGGACCTCTGATGACACATCTCCATTTGCCGTCAATAAGAAGGAAAGGGAACAATCATGGGAGATGAAGCTCGATCCCACACCTCACTGAAAGGGAGCAAGAGCATCAGGCAGTCAGTTGAGAAGTGCTGCAAAGCACCACGGCTCCATTTATAATGAAAATGTTGACATAATTCCGTGTTCAGCTAATATATTTTCAGTTTGGAAGTGCTCAGAGCTTTGACAGGGTATTAACATTTTCTTTGGAAAGCAATCATTTTCCCAAAAGCCTAATTGAGTTGAAAATCAGACTCCTTATTTAAAAAAATAGTCTAAGTGAAAATTTTAAGCCAGAACAGACTTCAAAACTTAAAGATTGACTGCTCCTCTGATTACCTGCTTCCCATCACCCAGAATCACTATCATTTAGGACACATACACACACAAAAATTCTTCTGTAAAGCTAAATAGGGCACTCACAAATTTCCTTAGGGATAAATGAGCTGGGGAATATGTTCCTGATGCTACTTCAGGTCTTGGAATGGCAGGAAGGCAGTGTAGATATGTAGGATATAAAAGAAATCAGATTTCAGGAAATAGATAAAAATCACAGTGGTTTTCTTTCTAAATTTAAAAAAAAAAAAAAAATCACGTTTTCAACAACATCTCTTCCATCCCCCATATTAAACAGCAGAAAAATCACTTTCGAGAAGCTTTTCATTCAGCAAGTAACCAATATCAGGCAGGTGAAATGAGGGCAAGAAAGGGAGAAAGGGTTTAGGGCAGAAAGGGAGCTATAAAGTTAATATAATCTACATCTGTATTATTTCACACACCTACAGCTCACAACTGTTCCTGAATTAATGGTTTCTTTGTTTTCTTTATTTCCCTTTTTACACATTACCTCTGGGTTAGGCACTTGAAAACACAGCGTCTATGTGGACATCAAGGCTTTAACTGGCATTAATACGTTGCCATAAATATGCAGTGCTATAGCTCTGCTGATAACCCTTCAAGTATGACTGTACCTAAGACAGCCTATAGTTTGTCTGTACAGCACTGTTGGCTCAAGTAATGTTGCTCTTGGTTTGAGTTCTGCCCACACACACATAAAACCTCTTAACTTGAGCACAGTGGCACTTTTAACTCAGTTTGATTTGCCTGGGAAGGAGACAGGCTAAAATATAAGTGAAGTCCTTAGTCCGTTCTGTAATTCCTTCCATGTGCCCAGGCAAGATAAATTCTCCAATGGTAAAGAAATCTGTAGCTCAGTTTACAGTGGTGCTAAGAATCATGCTAAGAAATGCCATACATGAAGGTATGCAACATCAGTCATGTAAGGGAAATGTCACAGTGTGGCATTTCCACACCAGCCAAACTAACTCAAGAGGGGTAATTTGAGTGGAACTGGGCAACTGTTTTTTAAGGAACACTAGTTTTGCCAGAAAATAAAGTTTTGGAAGAATAAAACTCTCTGTGAAATTGATATTTCAAATCTAGAGAACAGTTATAGCCAAAAAACGTCGGAAAGAATGTTGAAAATGTCAAGATACTTCTTTTTCACGACTTTCAAGGAAAAAAAATAACTTGTCAACTTTTCATTTCTAAACAGCATTTTTCATTTTGGAACTGACTTATATCTTGAAAACAAAGGGAAAAGTTTTTCAGAAGGTAAAACAATAAAAAAAAATAAGTGAAATATATTCAGTTGATCTGAAACTAATTTTCCTGTTTTCTGATTTTGTTAAACTTGTCTATAAAAAAAGAAAGTCTAGTTTATATTACAGTGAAGCAAGTAGCTTTTTTCTATCTTGATCACCTTATTAGAAAAAAAATATAGAGCCATAAACTTTGGAAGACATAACTCAAATTAGCTTTACAATAAAGTCACTACTACAGAAAGCCAGTAAATATCTGTATCTGGTCGAGTAGGACTCAAATTACAGTAGTAAGAAAGAAAAATAAACCATAAGTAACATAACCAATTGACTGTATTTCAACAGAGGACAGGCTTTAACAAACTAAATCAGAACTAGCAAAACAGCAGATTCCTTTCTGTTCCTTTTTTTTTTCTTTGTTTGATCTTGGCCATTCAGAGTATCCTTTCTATCCCTGGCTAATAATAGGAGTAGGAACTCTGCTCTGGAGTATTTTCTATCTGTCATCACACCTGATGCATTGGGTATGATTTCTCTTTGGCATGTGAAACTCTGCTACAGACTGTACTTCTTTCCTTTTCGGGTCTTGGAGATGAGAAAGCGTAACAGTGTGATATAAACCTGCCGTTCAAGAAACTGAATCTAGATGATGTCTAGGAAGCATGTAATCTTTCCCTTAGTACAAGTTTATGCAACACTTGAATTCTACAAATACCCTTAAAACAAGACTTAAGGAAAATATAAGGAATATGCCTTGACCTGGCTCCAGGTTTGTAAGTTGTGTTTCATTTTTTTCTGAAAATGTCGGTCTACCATCAGGTCCAGCTGCCTTGCTGAACTTCTTTGTATTTTCTTATTTTGTGTTTGTAGAAAGCCTGACACATCAAGGCTCTGAAATGTTATGAAGTCGTTTTGCATTAGCATTAATACAAATGACTGTTAATAAAAAAAAATGTAACTGTTCACTTGTGTTTTGCTGACTTAATGCCCCCAAAGCCTTCCGCTATTAGATACAGCAAACTTTGCCATCAGTTGCCCTTCACTGCTATACAGGATTTCTATCTCTTGCTAAGCCACACTCATTTTCCACCCTAATCCATTTAAACTTTGCCCTTTTTTACACACAACGTCTAATTAGCCTATTGAGCTTTTTTTCCACAGTACGTCATTAAGACTAAAAAAAGGTCATCTGGTTATCCCAAATTTGTATGTTTCAGCAGAAAATGAAAGATCTATGGTAGCATTATACAGAACTGGTCATTTTGTGAGCAGGAGAACTTACAAAATTTGGTTTCCTGTAGCTTCGTGGATTCTTTAGCATCTAATACTGTTGTTGAGCAAATTTAGAGGGCTTTTTTCCTGGGAAGAGGGAAGGGCAGTCAGAAAACCATCAGGCCACACTTTCAAAGACTTGTAGATTCCCAAAGACACATTTAGGCATCAACAGGACTTTCAGAAACTTAAGTGCCAAAGTGATACCGCTATTGTTGGTGCTTCTAAAGTCCCACTTGGCATCTCTCCGCATCTCAGGTCAAAGCAGAGCTTTGAAGATGTTTACAGACCTTTAGAAATCTGCCTGCAAAGGTCCCTAGTGACACTGGAATGTTCAAGAAAAAAATATGTTTCCTAATGGGTAGCTTATTCTATACACTCCTAATGTTTGCAGGGGGGAGGAGGGGAAGAGGGCTGGGTTTTGTTGCAGCATTCTCAGAAATATCTATAAATAGGCAAAACAGAAACTTGGCATTTAGTTTCAGCTACTTTCTCAAATGGACTGCAGGAATTTGCACAGACAAATCTCCCACTGAAGCCAGCAAGGATTTTATCATGAAAGGTCCCAGTCCTGCACTGAGAATTAATCTCCCACTCAAACACAGCTGTAAGAACTCCTTGCACAATCCTCTTTGAAGCTTTGGACCATAAGGATGCAAAACAGGTAAATAATAACATATGGCCAGGCAAAATGTGTATTGATGATGATGCATGACCTGGTGGAATACGTTACTAGACCCAATGACAGTCAGTTATGACCTGTGACTGTATATCAAATATGACATATGGTGCCATTTAAAATATACGTGACCGGGCACAGTGTATGTCATTTACGACACATCACCACTGTTTCTTGCAGAAGATGGGATTAAATGACTCACCCCAACAAATTTCCTGAGAAACTCCCTGGAGGATTCAATGTCTGTATTGGAGAGCTCAATGTAGTCTCCCATCATGCCCTCTTCTGTGGCTGGCACCTCCCGGTAGAAGTGTTTGGCCCTGGCGTAGAACTGCATCTCCCCATTGATAACTTGACTTGTCAAAGCATAAAGTTTCACTGCAAGCAGATAAATCACTGTTTTATTGTTAATGACAGATATTTCTGGTTTAGTTTACTGCTCTGGAGGCATGATGGCCAAGATCTATAAACTTATGTTGAGCCTTCAAATCACCAACCTCTGTTTCTAAAGGAAAGGTGGAAGGAAAGGTGTTGGATTTAATCCTGCAATACCTTGCAGGGACACAGCCCCCCTTGGGCAAATTCAGCGCCTCCCAGGCTCAGACATCGTTTTTGTCACCACACTCTTTTCACGTCAGTGAAAAAACATTTCAAGTTTGAAGTGAACTTGCATGCCAAAGAGAGCAAGGGGTTTGATTTGCTCTCAGAAAAGCTGTGGGCGGCATTTATTGCTGTGCAGGGTCATTATTTCCGCTATCACAAACCTAACTGTTCTGCAGATTTCCATATATGCTTTCTAGCCATTGACAGCTGCAGGGAGAATGCACCAAGAAGAGAGTGGATGAATGAGGCACTTGCTCTGGTTTATTTTTAGTGATACTGTACAGTCTGTGGCACTGCAAGTAAGCTGAACCAAAGAGCAGATGGTAGTCTCAGGCCTAAATGAGTACCAAGGAGGGAGACAATTTAGAAGCAACAGTCCTAAATTTTCATCTGTCACAGATCAAGGAGCGAGATAATCAGTGGGTGATATACTGGAAACTTCCTGTCTGCCAGAAGCTGAGATATTTCTTTTCATTGCTTCGCTATTTTGGTGGTAATATACAGAAATCATAAGTTGGAAGCTGTTTTATTAAAACCTGTTTGCTGGGTAAAGGGCTATTTTCCCCTATTCTTTAAAAAACTGAGGTCTGTCCTCCTCATCCTGTGTTTTTCTATACTCGATGTCCATCGGCATATCAAAAGTAGTTATGTTTTGCAGCTCAAAAGCGTGGATTGAGGCACGTCATAAACAGTTTGCTTGGTAACCAGCACCTCTTACTATCTCATGCACACATACAGGTGCCCAGGCATTTTCCTCTGCGTATGACACACAGCTATTCCCGGCCAGATCTTCCAACGAAAACACAACTACGAGCCTGTCTGTGAAAGCTAAGCAATAAGGAGGGATGGAGTCACACTGGGAAGAAGTCTTTGCGAGCATCACTTTGCAGCGTGAGACCAGCTCTGCTGCAGATTTCCAGTGTGCTCAAGGAACTGGAAATGAGCCGGCAGCAAACATCTTTCGGGTTAATAACAATGAAAAGGGAGAGCTCCCTGCCGGCTGCGTACACGGAAGGATAAGGAAGCAGTGCTTTGTCACTGCATCTTTAAACATCTGCGGGAGAACTGCTCGTCATTCTGGCAAGGGTCTGAACAGGCCATGCCTTGCTTACACCGGCTGGAGAACAGGAATTATGCCCTCCATGCAGAGGAGGAGAGCCAGGCCAGAGGCCCTGAATATAAGCCTGGAATGTATTTATTGAGGGCAAGCAAGCTCAGCAGGGAATGATAAGTGTGTGCCTGCCCATCCTCAGCAGGAGAATGACATTTTGGAGGCAAATGAGGGGGGACAAAGGAAGTAGGATGAGGAATAATTACCACCAAGGACCATTCGGAACAGAATAGTGCTATTGGGTTACACATAAGCAGCATGCCCAGCATATCCTTCATCCAACAAAAGCAGCATTACCAGCCCCTCTTGTCATCACCTGCTTAAGTCAACTGCCGAACGGATACTATTAAAGCTTTAATCCATTACACATTTATGTTATGCCTGAGAAATTTATACCACAAGAAGCACTGAGCCCAGCAAGGGTCAAACCTGGGAGTTTTACACACTCCACTGATTATATTCACATACTCAGAAGAAACCATTTAGCTGAAGAAATTAATATGAAGGGGGCAGCAGCCAATCCCCAGCACGACTTGGCCAGGGTGGCTCCCAGAGCCTGGGAAAAAGAGTCCATCGATGGCTGCGATTCTTCCAGTAAATGATCCCCATCTTCCCCCAGGAGTGGCACCATCTTGTTTGCTGTGTCTCTTTTTTCTTGACTTCAGATGCCAGCCTGTCTGGTGAACAGAACTGAATCCCTGCATGTTGGCTTTGCAAGATCTTCCATGTAAGAGTCCAGTGATGATTTCTAGGGCTTGTTTAGTGGACCTATCAACAGACAGTGATTTATCCCGTTCTGCTAGATTGAAGGGAAAAGCATTTACAGGCTGTCTGCACACTAGGACAGGGTGTTGCAGGCAGCTGGCAGCATGAGCAACAAATACTCAGTCCTTCTACTCAAAACATGAGCCTGACCTGAGGCAACACATGGGGACGATATGCTGTTCAGGACAGCAGATCTGTAGTGTGCACTCTCAGATTTCTCACTCAGAACCAGTATCAGGCTTGCAGAATGCTTGCCAGGACTTGCATGCATACACCAGCTGTCTGTGGCTCCTCCCGGGCCAGCTGGGGCCCCAGAGCCTGCCTTATGTGCTGGCATCTGAAACCAGCTCTGGGCTTAGTATCCATAGGGTCTTCTCTACACATCAACCTTTGCAAAGACCTTTTCATGCAAGTCTCCCACCTGAGGGCATGCAAGGACACAGGCTAACATAAAGAGTGGCACTGTACCCAAAGTCTTCTCCTGCGGACCCACAGAGTCTCACTTATGCAGCGTATGATCTATAGAGATGATTTCCACCTCTTGCTCCTTCCCTGTTACTCCTCCCTCTCATGAATTTGCAACACTGCCAACTCTCCCAATCCACAACCCAATTTTCCAGACACAGCCAATCAACCTCACCTCTGATCTGCCTTGCAGCTGTGCCTGGCATGCAGGCTCCAGCAGCAGGCCCAGAGGGAGAGGAAGGTATGCCAGCTTGCAAGAATCTACCCCAAAAGAGAAGTGTTAGGAGGCACAAGTCCTTGGTGGCAGTTAGTGTTGCAGCTTTGCTCCAGCACACTTCCCTGTCACCATAGGACTTGTCTAGCCAGAATCATCTCCCTTTCCATGGCCCATGTGGGACCGTCTCATGCATCAGGAAGTTAAATGCTTCTGAAGTCTGTTAGGGATGCACAGCCTGATTTCAATGAACTTTGTAAAGCAAGGCATAGGCCAGATAGGATGATGGAGCCTGTAAGTCTCCCAAATGTTGGGGGGGGGAAGCTGTCTTTCACAGACAAGCTTTTCAGTGTTAAGGCACGTGACTTGTAAGGTTTAAGGTTAGAAATGTGTTTCTAGTAAAGTAAGAAGCACACTTGGTCTCTCAGCTGAATCTGCTGGCGAATCCCTCAAGTGGAGACGGTTAAAACAAACCTACTGCAAAAGCTGGCTGAGAACAGGAACTGGCTCCCTAAAAGTCACTCCACAGTCGTGAGATGTTAATAATTTTCAGTCGCTGCAAACACAGTCTGGATGCAGAGTGGTGACCTACAGCTGAATGCCAACCCCTGGCCTAGTCAGACAGTAACTACCTAAGCCCTTTTGCTCTGCAAAGTCCAAAACATGATCTCTAATATTTTTTCACGGGTCAGTTCAAAATACTATTTCTCAGTGCATCTGATCTAAACCTCTAGAGAAATGGGACCACTTAATATGTAAGATTTGGTGCAATCTCAACCTGCACTAGACTGTCTTACAGTTCTTGGTTGCAGAGTTTACTCAGCTAAATTTCCCTGGCAGAAGTAAATGTTGCAAGTAATTTTTTTGAAGTTTTTATTTGTGAACATTATTTTGTGGCTCCAACTGCTTTCTGCAAGATATTGAACTAATTCCAGTTTGGCTGAATATTCCCTTTTAAATGCAACATCTGCTTTGTACATCAGTTGAAAAATAGTTATGTGGGTGCAGGGTAGATTTCACCTCTCTGCTGCGGTCCAAGAACCATTTAAATTCTGTTTTATAGAGGATGAACAACAGCCCACCTCCAAAGCAGATTTTACTTACAGGCACGTGCCTCACACAGGAACATTTGTCTCTGCGGTCTGATCATCTAAGTTTTCCACTACAGATCTCACCCCACTGGCACTGAGTCCCACAGCCCATGTAAACATGTGCATAATTTCCAGCACCTAAATAGCTCCATTAAAGTCCACTGGGCTTAAGGGCATTCGCACACATTTAAGTACATTGCTGGATCAGGGCCTAAAGTTACTTATGTCTTCTATTTATAAATGCTACCCTGGTCTGTAAAAGTGACATGTTTCTCTTAACAGGCTGTGATACCAGATATGGTCAGCTCACAGGTAAACATGCTTAAGTGCTCCTCTACTGAGCCTAGCTATGGAGTGGGGGGAGTGTGGAGTTAGCATAGCTTGAAGCAAATTTTCTGCCTTGCTGTACTGCAAGTTTCAATGTGAGGCTTTATTTCAGTGTTACTATTCATGCTTAGGGTTAAGCACACGCTTAACTACCCTGCTAGGTCACAGTCTTAGCGTTGTTTTAGTTGTATAATACTGTTTACACAGAGATATCTGGATCTAGTCTTTGAGTTCAGTTCATTTCTGCTCAGTTCCACTCTGAACTGAACTGGAAAACGTCATTCTGCAGAGATGTTCAGACCCGCCACATTCTGTCCTCTCCATGAGAGCGAGCACTGAATCACAGGATAATCCAGGTTGGAAGGGACCTAAGGAGGTCTCTAGTCCAAACTTCTGCTCCAAGAAGGGACAGACATGCAGTCAGATGAGGTTCATCAGGACTTTATTCAGCTAGGTTTTGAAAGCCTCCAGTGATGGAGAATTGTATGACCTCCCTGGGCAACCTGATCCAATGCCTGTGAAAGAGCTTTTCCTTATAGCCAGTCTGAACTTCTTTTGTTTCCATTTATGGCCACTGTCTCTTGTCCTCCTACCTCACACTACTGTGCAGAGCTCAGCTCCATCTTCTTCATGATCTTCTTGTAGGTACTGACAGGCTAGTATTTAGTGTCCCTGAAGCTGTCTCTTCTCGCTGCACACACCCCATTCCCTTAGTCTCTCTTCATAGGCTATGTGCTCCAGTTCCCTCACCACCTTGGAGGTCAACCAACTCACTCCATGTCATTTCCTGCATTGGGAGTTCAAGACTCCATGCATATGGTCTAATGACTTCCATAAAGGGGGATAATTGCTTTCCTCGATCAACTAGCTATGCTTTTGTTAAAAGGCCCAGGATACTGCTGGCCTTCTTTGCTGCCAGGACATGCTGCTGATTCATGTTCTGTTGCCGTCTACCAAAACCCTAACAGTAGGGCTGCTCCCTGGCCAGTCACTGCCCAGCCTGTGGTGGTGTTGCCAAAAGTTCTTCCTTTCCAGGTGCAGGACTTGGCATTTGCCTTTGAATTTCAGTGAATTTGAATTTCACTAGGTTCCCACTGTCTCCTTCCTCTAGCCTAACAAGGTGCCTCTGGATGGCAGTCCTGACCTAGAATTTGTGGACGAGTCCTGCCAGTAGGCTGCAATCTGCAAATGTGATGAGCAAGCAGTCCTTCACCTCCTCCAGATAAAGATGTTAAACAGGACAGGTCCCAGGACAGACCCTTGCGGTACTCCACGGACCTCGAGGTCTGACCACGACTTTCTGAGCCCCATCACCCAACCACTTTTTACCCATCTGATTGTCCACCCATCCAGACCATGACATCCTATCAGGCTGTGAAGTTTCTTGGATGTGTTTTCACAGCGCACAAGCTGCCCCACAGTACCTGTCCTTATGTACTTTTACTCCGTGGCAATAATCACGGAGTAATAAACATACTGCATGTTCATATGAAGGCTGGACTCACAGTACCTTTTCCACAGAGTCAAACTAATTTGGGTATGCTGGCAATAAGCTTTAAGCTCTTTAATGAAGTTTTAATGATTCAGGTAATGAAAAACCTGGCAGAGGGGATCTTTAGTCTGATAGGAACATTTTACAAAGCTTGTTGGCTGGGAATGGAAATTCAAATAAAATTCAGACACGAAATAAAATATAGTTTTACAAGAGTAAAGCAATTAGGCCTGGAAACAGCTTAATGATGGACTGATGGATTCTCAGTCATTTGCAGCCCTTAAACCAAGATATTTCTGTCTTCATAAATGTATACTGTGACCCAGTCATAAGTTACAAGCATGATGCAGGAACTTTTATGTGAAATTCTAAGCTAGATGTTCATAATGGTACCCTCTAGTCTTAAAATGATCTATCAGTACTTAGACTAACAGTTACATTGTAGGAAATCCTCTCAGTTTCTAATATGTTATGTTTATTTTCAAAACAAATGAAAGAATAACATTTTCATAGACTTCTTGAGATTACATCAACCTGTAATTAACTTCCTTTCCATCTTTCCTTCCTTTCCATTGTTCATAGCTATCTACCATTAGGGACAGGAGTATTTATCTTCCATGTTTCATTTTAAATAGCTGCAGATACTGCTGCATTTGAAAAGCCACATCAAAATATTAATACGGAAATGCTTTTTCTCCTTAGAGGACTCATGAATTCTATCATATTGAGCAGGGCTCTATCATATCTTGCTCAGCTCTGTATAGTTTCACACAATCAAGTAAGATAATGCACTCACCTAAATGGATCATTCGATTAGGAAGCCCTCAAGAATTCACTGTGAAGAGTAGTTTAACAGGTTGCACAGACACATCCTTTCCATCTTAAAATTCCTACAGTTCTAACATTGAGTGGAGGCTGAATAATTCTGCTTAAAAAGTGACATGCTAAAGTAATACTGACTCAAGTCAAACCTACTTTTTAGCTATATTGTCCTGGGGAAATCTTGTTTCTTATTCAGGGTCACATTTTCCTAAGAAATGAACATTCATTTTCTGCATCTAAAAAAAATTGTCTTGGCATCCTGTACTAGAGGCGTTGACTGAAATTTTTCTATAAACAAACATTTTGGAAGCATTTTCTTCCCAGATAACAAACAGTAGTTTAGACAGCCCGCTGCAGAGATTGGGATTACAAACACTCTTAAAACTTTTTTAAAAATCATTACCTTTCAGGTGCTTGTCCAAAACAATACATATGAGAAGGCTAAGGACACACTGAATGACAACAAAAGAGGTATCAGGCAACAGAAAGTAAGGCCTGTCAGCCCTGCTAGTTTTGTATTTGTCCTTCCAAGTTCCAAACAGGTCAATGCATGTTTTACTTTAATGGTGACAAAAAACCAAACCATCAGCCAGAAACCAAACTTTCTTTCACTTTTGTGTTTTTTCCCTTGCCCCGCTCTAACAATCTGGAGTATTTAGGTAAAACAACAGGATACTGAATTAGAGGGACCTGAGAGAGAGAGTACCAAATGGTTTAGCTAGCGCTGTAGTCTCTCTAGCTGAGCTTCTCAAAACTACTAATTGTAATTAATGTGACTGCACTCCACCATCTAACATCGTATGTCTTTCTGGAGCATGGTCACACACACACACACACAGACACACAGACACTCCTGCCCACCAGCTACTCACCCAGGGGAAGCTTTTCCAGCAGATAAAGGTAACTCTGAAAGAAATCATTTTGGATCGCCTTATGCAAGATGAAGGACATGCTGTGCCGACACAGTTCTTCATCTGTCTTGTGCCAGCGTGACTTAAAGGCCAAATGTGCTGCTTTATATGCCATGATGAAGATGATTTTTGCAAGGGTGGACAGTTGCTGTGGCTAGTGCTCTCTGGAGGACCTGTCCTTCCAAAGAGGCAGAGGCAGCGTCATTTAAATTGTGGCAATGTGCTGTCATTCTATACCGGGGTGTGTGTCTAGAGCAGTGCAGGGGGCGGAGGCGGGCACAGGGGAGTGAGAAATGCTGGCTGTTGGCACTGGCTCAGAGTAATCTCTGGAGTGTCGCCCTCTAAAACAAGCAGGTGCTGGAAAGTGATAAAAAACTCAACCAGGAAATTGCTTAGCCAGGGTAAAAGTATATCTACTCAAAAAAAGAGTGGCTTTAATTCAATTACACTTTTCCTAATCTATTCAGCCTTCACTTCAAAGGCACTCAGATATAATCCAGGAGCTACCATTTCTCTCTTTTATATCTCATAGGGTGATTTTGTTTCTGTCTCTCCCTCACTATTTGTTTTTCAGTCCAGGACACCCAAGAGGAAGGCCAGAAGACAGAACATGGACATGCTTCTACACGAACTGTGTGTCCTAATAAACTGTGATTACAGCAAGCAAAGAGAAGGCAAAAACTTCATGCTTTGCCACTGCGTACGGCGGGGAAAGCCATCCTCTATGCACTACAGTCTGCCCGGGTTCATTTAATCTGCTTAAATGGTACAGACTATCTCATCAGCAGAGGCTAGCTGGAAGAAATTACTGTCTAGGAACACAGAAATGGTAAAGCCAGGGGAGGGTACGAGCTTTTTGCTTTAGCTAACAAAATACACAGAGGAACAAAAGGAGATAAACTGCCCATCAACATACTTAGCCAAATATATTGGCTGGAAAAGAGAAGGAGGTTCAGGTCACTGCAGTGGGCAATATTCTAGAATAGGGGGAGTAGGGTGAGAATCTGAAATGCTTCTAGGATGGAGAATGCTAAGCTGCTAAAGGGGGCTGTATTTCATAAGTATGTCCCATCCCAGAGGAGGATCAGGTCCTCAATGGACAAGAACAGACAGGTACTGCTTCAAAACCTTGTTTGCCCCTTGGTATTTCAGGGGCAGTACAGCTTCAAGCCCCCTGAGTTGCAAAGGTACCCAGCAAGGGGATGGGCGGCTTCATACTGACTGCGCTGACCTCCACACATTGTGCCCATGAGGGTTTCCCCTTTTCAAGCTGTTTATTCCAGCTGTCTGCAGTGTAGGCACACTATAACGCAGCAACACACAACCAGAAAGTTGGATGTTTTCAGTACAAACAGGCTGCCATATGTCCTGAGCAGTACTGCAACTCCCGACAAACATCTGATCAAGCTTCTGAGAGCAGAACAAAGATGACCTAGCCTCCACCAAGGAAAATCACTAGCAATTCAGCTACAGATGATGCTAAATAGCATTTAGCAATGCATCAATTAATTAAAGCCTATTTTCCAACATGACTCGCTTCCTTGGAGGAGTCAATCTCTATCTCTGCTTTGATATTACTTATTAAAAGCATTTAGGGGCAAAACCGTCCCTGGGTATTACTACCTTTCTTGTTTCCTCAACTACCATCCTGCATTACTCATTCTCATCTAACTGCATGGGCAGGCTGCTCCCCCAGCTGTTCCAGTCTGCATGGTAATGCAAACGTGTTGATGAACAGATCAGGGAATAAATTTTATTCAGAAAAATATACTTATTTTTCTTTCAAGTAGTATCAGTTCCCCAATCCAGCCCGCAGCTGACACAAGGGAATTTGTCATGTGCTACAATACGGGGGCTGGAACAGCCACTTGGGATGGCAGTGTGGAGGAGGTAGTCATACAGCCACAATACACCGTGGCCTTACCAATAATGTAGATCTCCTCCCTGTATCCTGTCAGAGAGTTGTGCTGGAGGGGCTTCCACGACAGCCAAAGCTAATCTAAGTACTGGAAAATATATTCCTACGCTTCCACCCTTCCCTGCTCACACATTCCTGTTGTTGAGGTCTCTGCTGAGCCATTTCAGCTTGCTACACCAGTTGGCTTTTTCTGTCTGGTCAGCACTGTGAACCAGCTCAGTGCAGAGCTTACAATTGCTAGAGAAGTGCAAGAAGGGAGGCAGAAATGTGCAGTTGAGGATTGGGCGAAAAAGTGGGATCGTGGCGGTGGTTAGATCAGCTCTAGTGCCACTGCACCAAAGTCTGAGCCTTTCCTTCAATAGACGCCAGTGTTTTTCACACAGCCTTAGAAATTTCAGCCATCCCTTGAAATAACTCAGTCCCAAATTTCTTCCTGGTTATGTATCTATCAGAGAAACACCAGGCTCAACCAATTTTGAAATATCTGGGCCCAGACACAATCCTGGTCTATGTCTTGGTTTTCTCACAAATCTGGCCCTTTCACTTTGCTTATCTATTTTCAGCCACTTGCCAGTTAGCGCGCCAGGAACCGATGCGTCAAGACAGCATGTTAATGCTTTGGAAAGACGTTGCACAAGCTCACTTTATCACTGACAAAAGATACCCCTAGGAACTCAGGACCCACCTGTTCTGCATTTGACACCACGTTTCGCATTTGTCATGGCTGTAGTTTTGGCAATGCCCATTGTGTAGCAAAGTGACTCCTCTGCTTAGAGATAGCAGTGACTCCAAGCATGAAACCTAAGACCTGATGTGTCCTAGTGGAGTCAAATGCTGGGACAGCGTTGTGGAGGGTGCTGTGACCGCAGCCCCAGGGCTCCCCATAGCTTTGACACTCATGACATCCACAGGGGCCTGGGCTTTTACATTCACTAAGAGGATGTGAAGTGCAAAGGCAGAAAATGGCACTGTTTCTCTGGGCACTGTTTCTCTGTGCTTAACTTTTGCTTTGGAGCAGCACATTTGGGTTCCCCAGCGCCTGTGACTCCAGTGAAGCTCTCTCGATTTACACCCTCTGAGAATCTAGCTAATTATGACAGTGAATACATACACATGGGAAACAGGGCATATTTCAGAGTCACTCCCTATCATTTTAATGCCCTGCTAGTGATCTTCGCAGAACATACTCCTAGCCCACTTTCCTTAGGAAAAATGTTAGGTGCAATCATGTTGTGTATGTCTCTGTCTATGACTTTTATTACCCCATCACCAAACAACATTTAAACCTATCTATCTATCTCAAACAAACCCCAGAACTACTTCAAAGCTTCAAAATAGTAGATGGGGTAGAGAGAGAGGTCTCATCCTGGTATCACTCAGCAAAGTGCTCTTCTGAGACACCGTAAAACCCATAAGGAGGGACAGGCATGGGTACATCTGCACCTCTCTTTACAAGGTACCATTCTCAACTATCCAACACAAATGTGTCAGAAGCAACAGTTCACAGGATTAGATTTTCAGGCTGAATGTTGGTTATAACTCTTTTTGATAAATTCATGGTGGGTTTGACTCACAGTAGTCCCGCCCCACACTAAAAGAGTAAAGATCTACAGAAGGCTGTATAAACACTAATTCTATTTATTCTGTTTGCATGTGATCAACACTAAATCCCTATTCCAAACAGCTCTATAATCTAAGAGTTACTGTGAACACACACTCAGTCCTCAAATACTAGTGCAGCTAAGTACAGCACTAGTACTTAGTGCTGTAATCACAACAGCATTCAAGCCTTCTAAAGCACTTCCAAAGCACTTCCTGTTGCTGTCAAAGGTTAGGCAGAAACATAGGTTTGTGCCCAGAAGTGCCTGAAAAAGGCCACAGAAATAGCAGGGTTTATTTCAAAAAGTGGATGCTATATTCTCCGCCTATTTGTCAATGGCAACATTAAGATGTCTTCTGCTAAGAACAGTTCACAACTGCTTCACGCTGTTTCCTAACCCCGTATTCTGAACAGGAGTAGTATCAGTCTACCCAGAAGCTGTGAACAAATCAAGCAATGTTATATACCCTGCATCGCCATTAACAAGAAGTGTGGGGCTTGAGTACGGGCACAATGGCACCCATACTACTTGTAGGATTACTGCTGAAATGTGAGTAAACGGACTTCTCAACTTTAGTTTCTTTTCCCAAATGGCCATTTGACTCTTTCTGAAGTTGAAGCCAGCAAGTCAGCTTTTTTGTTGGTAGTAGGGACACTGGAGAATCTAGACCTCTGGATAAACTGAAGCCCTACACTAAAATAACAGTAGACACGGCCATAATGCATGACAGTCATTGCCTCGAACAGCTTCTGGTCTAAAATAAGACTGTGTTTGTATTTATGTGGGTAAGCAAATAGTTCCTCCATGTGTCGTCTTCTTCCTCCCCGTGAGATCACGCAGTTCTAGGATACCAGGTTTATCACAGATTAAAATGAAGGATCAGCTAGAGTGGCTTCTTTTTAAATACCTGCAGCTGATCTCTGCCTGAGGGCAGCACGTTTAAAATAAGGTATCATACGGCTTATGATGAGTCACTGCAAGATCCAAGGCAGATCTGTTTGTTGGAGCATCAGGGTATTTAAAGAGAAGTTGGAGTTACTTTTATATTAGTAGGTAACTACCTGCCTCTGCAGATCTGAGCTGCACATGCTACTTCTGAAACACATCAGCTGCACAGAAGAGAAAAAGAAAAACATGTGCACTAGCTCCACATATCATGCAGGTCACAAGGGGTCAATTTTTGCTTTAAATTACTGTGTTCTGCTTACAAAACACCTGGAATGCAATATTTCCACACGGACAAGCCATCAGGATTGCTGTAAGATGTCTCTTTATCTTAAAAAGGCCTCTATATTAATTCTCCCTCACGCTCACGCCTGGCATATGCTGTCAGGAATAGATGTGGTTAAAGCAAGTAATTTTTGTTTTACCTTTGACAACAAGTTTTTAAAAGTTCCTGAAAACCACAGGATCATGTTGATAGATGAGGCACAGGCAGAGAGCACACATGCAGTTATGAGGGCAGTGAAGAACAGCTGCAGGTTGGATGGCAGGTGGTAACCTTTACAACTGACTTTGCTGCAGCCAGAAAAGCAACTGCCTGTATTGTTCTGACTGCAGCTTCAGTGGCTTATTCAGAGCCACAGTGTACACCAGTGTCTGGGTGTCAAGCTGGGAAACAGTATTATGACAATGGATGCACTAATTGTGTGACTTGTTGAAGTCCAGAACTCCTAGTCACAATCC